ACCAGCAGGCTCTGATTTCAGCTCCGCTGCCGATGAGCTCATCCTCAGCGAGGAGCTGGTGGGCGACGCTCGGAGGCTCGTCGGGAGGAGGGGGGGGTGGGGGTGCAGTGAGTTCAGGGCGAGCAGATGCTGCAGTGAAGATGCGCGTCCTGGGAGTTTTTATATTGACTGAGCCCGATCCAGTTCTTTATGGTTCTGAGAGGCCGGCGGCTGAAACCGTCTGGGCTCAGCGAGGAGGTTGGCGCCACTCCCTTTTGGGAGGCAAAYGGTAGATTTCATCAGGAAACAGAAAGTCAGGGTCGAGGGTTGGAGCCGTTTGTGTTTATTTATCTTGGTGGTGTTATCAAAAACACATAAAAATATGAAGCTGAACATCTACAAATGTTCAGACAGCACATTATGAATGTCCAGGCAGATTATTTATTCTAAACTCTACAGACTCTGACAACACAAGGACCACCTGAGCTGTCATCTCATGAATCCACCTCAGAACCTCCACTCTTTTCCTCTCAACTCAACYTTTTAAACGAGATGTTCAAACTTTACMTCAGCTTCAAACTCTGTCCCCCATCTACATCTAAAACTGATCTGTAGTCGAGTCGTGGAGCCAACAAGTCCAGGACAGAAACCAGGACCTCCCTCTCCCCCAGCAGCATTCTGCAGCTCCTCCTCAGGGGTCCCAAGGTGTCCCCAGACCAGAGAGGATCTATAACCTCAATAAAACACAACGGTTCCATGTTAAAGATGCTAACRTTCCTGCACTCAACAGAAACACTAAAGGGAGTTAAAACCCCCGCTTGCATTCACTACATTCACATRACATGACACWGGTCAGGTGATGGGTCACATGACCCTCTATGAACAATAGAGCCAGTCAAGCCTATTGTTAGTCGATGGCCCTATTTTGCATATAACTAACCTGTTTGTCCATGTGGAGGCGGAGCTTATAAGGCTGAGTTCACCTGAAACTCATCAGACTGAAGAAGTCTCTTAGAGGAGAGACGAAATGTTTCACTAAAGAAGAACCATCCAGAGGACCTACTGATTTTTTCTTTTTGATTTTTTTCTACCTGGATTACTGAGATGTAGTGCTGCCACAAACGATTATTTTAATAATCGATTAATCACGATTATTTATTCGATTAGTCGACTAATCGGATTATACATTAATTGAATATAAAACATAGAGCTTATCGTTCCAGAATGCAGCTGCTATTATATAACCATGGTTAGATTTTAGCTATATGCTAACTAAAAATAATWGCTGTGGAAGGTAAGTTCTGCTCTGCAGATATTACACAGGTTTCTCTTTCATTTTCTTAAAATGATCCCACACTTTGAGCTCTGTTGTCAGGTAGCCATGATACCAGAGCCTGTCTGTATAATGTCTTGTGACGTCCACGGCCTACCCCAGTTACCACTACTGTGCATGTGTGTCAACGACAGAAAGGTAGATGTGGCAGTGGAAGCTGTCAAAGCAGTTTGGAGAGAAAAACAAAGTAAAGAACAACAACAACAAAAAAAAGAAAACGATTAATCGATTATTAAATTAGTCATAGATTATTTTAATAATCGATTAGTCRTCGATTAATCGATTAATCATGACAGCCCTACTGAGATGCATCAGGAAACTAAAGGGAGCGGGTCAGATGGTTCTAACGTGGACGTCCATCACAGAACCTGACAGGTTTTGTAATCTGGACTCTGTTTGAAGTCTAATCTGGTCGGGAGGAGCTCTAACGTCTGTCCTGATAATGTCCAGTTTCAGCCGACACTGTTTGACAACGAAGACGGACTTTGTTGTTTGCAGGAGGAGTGATGTCAGAGGAGCAGGACGGACACTTCAGCAGCAGAGGAGAGGGACGTCCATGAAAGAGCACCAGGTGATTGCAGAGAGCGCTAATAGCCCCAGACTGGCCACAGTCCATTACAGATSGTTCATACAGCAGCTTTTATGACCTCCTCCCATTACACGGCCTCCCTGCAGGACCTCTGCTGTCCTCTCTGAAGCAGGGTTAGACACTCACACAGCAGGGCTCCATTCAGAGCTCGGACCATGTTCGMTCGACTGAACCGAGCTTCAGGGCAGCAGGAAGTTGTTTCTGAAAGCTCTCAGCTCAGGTGAGGAGAGGGGAGAACACCTGAGTGACAGCAGCAGCTTGTTGTAAACCAAGATTAGAATAGTTTTGGATTTTTTCATTATAGTTCAGTTTGATTTCGTTGTGACTTTTTTCTTTTAATTCAGTTACTTTTAATGAGTTTTTACAGTGGATTTGCTAGTTTTTTATTAGTTATTGTTTGTTTAATGCTTAGATTTAGTTTAGTTTTTATTACTTCTAATATTATTTTGTTTTAACAGTTTATTTGCCAATACATCAAGCTTGTGATGTTCCTGTGAGTTCACTAACCAACAGCTATTTGGTCACTAGTTAAAGCAGTCCATTAGTAAGTTAGTAAGTAAGTAAAGTTTTATTTATATTGCACCTTTCATAGAAATAGATTCACAAGGTGCTGTACAATCAGAGGGAAATCAAAATATACACAATCAGACCAGGATACACAAAAATTTGGAATAAAAAAGTATAAAAGCTGTACAACCATCAAAGTATCAAGACTGTACAATCCGAAAAATAAAACAAGTAAATAATATCTAGACAAACATGGGGAGGGCAGAGTAAAACATTAACATATTAAGACGAAGGATTTTTGAATCAGAAATGAATTTGGAGGCAGGTCTCTGAATGGGTCGATTGTGGAGTACTGGTACATTTTAGAAAAATACATTTTTGATAAATTGAAATAATTTTAGATGAAAATACTGTCTGTTTGACATATTTTAATATGATGAATTGTACGGTCATTAYAGAGACACCTTCCTAAAATAATTGCGTAACTCAAAATTGTTAACTAAAAACTTGSGTGATTATTTTAGGACGATGACAACAGTTTCCAACCTGTTGTTTGTTTTTCATGGAGCTGCTGAGAGAAGCTAGTGTCAGATAGTCACAGTTAGCATCTTGTGTGAGTTTGATTCATGCAGTTTTTCTCTTGAGAAGTTTTCCACCTGTTTTATCACCTGTTTCCACTACAAGACTCTGTTTTATTTTTCTCACAGTCGTATTCAAAGAAATCCCAAAGTGGACGTTGCTGATTTCCCCAAACATTTGTCATCATTTAGCAGGTGACGCTGAGCAGCAGACTGTAAACAAGTGTTGTTACAGACCACAGCTAATGTGAAACTACTCTAATTGAAAAGAATAAATAAATAAATTGACAAACACTAAAATTAAGGATATTCTTTCTATAATTTCAGTTAGTTTTAGTTAGTTATGTAAAAAGATTATACAGTTTTAGTAAGTTATTGTTTTTTCATTTTATTAGTTTTTATTTATTTCAGGTAACTAAAATGTTTTTTTCAATTTTAGTTTTCATTATTTAGTTAGTTTTAGTGAACTGTAATAACASTGTTGCAAACTTGTTTTCATGGGCAAACCATGACTGAGTATCAGCTGGATCAAAACTACAAACAGCCGACGTCTTTTATTTCATTTAATGAGCAAAACATTTAGAGGATTTCCTCCTCTCTTACCGTTTGAGATTAAATAACGTCACGGACCAACAGGTAGAAGTAAGAAAAGCCAAACTAATCCTGGTCCAGAATTAAAACCCTTCTGATTGTGTTCTGTGACTGGTTGACTGGTTTTACACCAGGGGCGTGCATTAACCAGGTTAGCCACTGGTTTGGTGTCGTTCACGTGGCCACAGAACAACAATAAACAGAACGTGCTCCAGGCAGATCCGGCTCCTCTTACCTGAGTTGTCCTCCACCTCCCTCTCGTCCGTGCAGATGCCCTGGCCGTGCATCAGGGAGTGCAGTGGCCTCTCCACGCCGCGCGGCGGGTAGCAGCGCAGGCCCGTCCCGCAGCGGGGCGAGTACACGCCGCAGTGGGCGCCTTTGGGCAGGGCGCAGGTGGGGCAGCAGCCGCAGCCCGGCTCGCGCACCGTCTCCTCGCAGCCCTCGGGCAGGCGACAGCTGGCCAGCCTCTCCTCGGAGCACACCGGGCAGCGGATGGCCTGGTCTGACGAGCACAGCGCCGCCAGGCACAGGGCGCCCAAGACCCAGAGTCTCCAGAAGGACAGAACCGCTCCGCGTCCTCGCGCCATCGCACCTGATCGGCTTTCCACCTCCTCTCTGAGGACCTCTGCAGGTTTTTGATCACTTTCTCTGCCTGCAGCAGATTGGAGACAAAGGAGCACTGAGAGGAGCGCTCTGTCCAGGAGAGGCTCTGATATTTGCAGCTGTGGCCTCTTTGTTCCTCTGCTTCAGTTTGACAGCACACCAACCGGAGCTGCTTGATCTCCTGAGCCGGCAGACGCTGCGGTGATGGGAACTAGTTGGAGGAAACAGGAGGCATTTTGTTCAGGTGAGCCTCGCCTGCCTCTGCCGACAGATATCTGGTCAACAAGTGTGGGAAGCTGGTCCTCCAGGAAGGCAGATGTTTAGAAGCTGCAGGTTCTCCTCCTGCAGCCGTGCAGCTCCAGAGACTGTCTTCTGAGAAGACGAGCCGCTCCGCTCGGACTTTATACTGATCCTGGACACGCCTCTGTGTGCAGGCTGAAGCTCTCTCCTCTGCCTCCCTCTGTCTCTCCAGCAGCCTCCTCGCACTCAGACCCACAGACCTGCCCCCCGCCCGTCCTCATTAAGTCCTGATCGCACCGAGGGGAAAAAGCAGCTGAATCGACTTCTCGCTTGGATCTGATTCACGTGACAGAGGCTGGTTTTATTAGCAGGAACTCATCGCTTCTCTTTGATCAGCAGAAACTCCTCATTCTGGAGCTGATTATTCAAACCTCTGCTGCTTTATATCCAGCAGTGAGACACATCTCAGCTATAAAACACAAACCAGCCCTACACCCYCCCACCGGAGTGGGCTCTTTAGTTTTAACAGCACGGCTCAGCAGGAGCAGGTTATTGTTTCTGATCAGGAAAGGATCTGGACTTTGGTCTTGTTTGCAGATTTTCCCTCCACTCAGCTTTTATTGCTTCACGTCTCTCTTGTGTTGCTTTGCTTTCATTTCACCATGGAAACCCAGCAACCATCTTTATTG